GTTTATCCCTATTTAGTAGCGGTATACATTTCCTTTCTTGCATTGCAATTATAAATGAACAGGCCTTCACAACTCCATCTGACTTTTATTCTTTAGAATAACTGTATACCCCACAGAATGTAGCATAATGGCATTACAGATTCCCAATAAGTGTGTATTAAATTTGTACACTCATTATTTATCTTGCTGTATTTCAAAATAGAAAACAAATATTTCTTCTCTTTATTCTTACTATGAGTAAAAGATCAAGACAATAAGTACTATGTCAAGTTCTAAATGACTAGGTCCTACATGAAATGAAAAACATTTAGTTCTTTTTTGTGTTTAAAGAAGTGAGAAAGCTGAAGTGGAGTGTGGGAGAGAGGTCAGGTAGTTCAGGAAAATTAGAGGTGTGAGGATTGGGGCAAGATGAGGGACCTAGAATCAAAATATACACTACTGTGCATCCAGAAGCTCCCTTCTCAATCGTTTGTGATTGTGATTGAAATACAGAAGTTTTTACTGTAAGGACAAAAGTTTAAAACTATCAAATACCCCAAGTATGTATAGCAGATATTTGTATCATTTCTAAAACTGAAACATAAGAATTGTGAAAGAAACAAGGCCCACGAGATTAAAATAATAGATTAGAATCTGAAGGTGAAGGATCTATACTTAGTTTCACAACTGAACTTGTCTGTGACTTCCAGAAAGCAAGCATTTTTTGGTTGCTTTTTTCCCAACTTTCGAATTATAAAATTATGTAAAATTTCATACTTATATACTGCACGTATAGTATATACATATATACCTTTTGAATTATGAAATTATATATATTATATATATATACACACATACATACATATAATATCCTTTGTCTATTATGGAAGTAAAGTGCTTTGAAATCCTCAGAAAAAATGAGAGAGAGCTTAATAGCTTTGTTCTTTTCTTCTAAGGTCATGTGAAACTAGCAATATTTAGGACTCATTACACAAAAACTCATGGAAAAATTACAATAAGATATCTTAAAATTATTTCTTTGAGCAATTGAACAAAAGAAAGACACGTTTTATTTCGCATGCAACTGACTTTTCTGACTCATCGTTTAGGTGCATGAGGGTCAGATGAAAGAACTGGATTCTTCCATCATCAATGCTGCTGACCTGGACATTCCCAAAGACCACTTGCTGTTCAGCATCATTCATAAACCACGTCATGGCCTCCTCACCAATGCGGTGTTTAGCAAAAACTTTCCTCAGTATGAGCAGCCAGCCAACCATGGTCAGAAGCATGAACTTGTTCACAACTTTTCCATGGAACATCTCAAGAATGGTATGTAATGTTTCCACTTTTATTTGTTGTTGATTTAACAATTTAACCTAGAAAAGATAATAATAAATCACAGAAATAGGAAGTGAAGAAATGTCATTCACCTGCTTTATTTATTCCTCAAGGGTTTTCTCTTGGCTTGGGATTAATGTAGGGCATGAAGCTCCAGCTAGAGATAGTGGGTAATGGGAAAGAAAATAATGGGCTTTCTTTTACTTTTAGGACATCAGTAAAAATGATATTTGTGATTTTTGGTATTTTAGCTCAAACTTTTAATGTCATACTAAAAAATTCCTTTTAAAACTACTCAGATCATGGAACTAAATTTTAAGAGATTTGTCTGCCAAAATTTCCACATATAAAACAAATATAGAACCATATGTAATAATTCATTATTTTCTGAGGAGGTAATCTCTTCTTTAAAAAATAACACATTAGAATAGGAGCCTGAATTATTTTTTAATTACTCTTTTTAAAGAAGTCAATCTGACCTTATTTTCTATTTATAAAAATACTTTAAAATATTTGAGAAAACTGGTTCTAGAATCACGACCTACTCTCACACTCCTTCCTGCTTTCATGTACTTAGTTTCCCAGCCTGGAGGGTCCTTCCCACTCCTTCACCTTGGCTAGCCAATACTGTGACGTCAGAACCAGTTTACTGTTGACCTCCTCCTCCTCCTGTGAGCACCCCCAGATCCTCCAAACCATTCCTTTTCTGTGCTTCTTAACACTTGTTCAATGTTTTTCCTACCATCTTTTAATTTTTCCTTTCCCCAGCTAGCGTTGTAAGTCTTCTGCCCTAAACTTAATTTTGTGAGAGTTGTACAATGTCATCTCATGTTTGAATGTGAAATGCTAATTCATATATTTCACAATTTTTATCAGTTGCAAAGAAATAAGTTCTGGAGCTTAAATGATGATATTACCAAATCAATAACCATGTTAGCAAATAATACAAGATATATTTACAATATTTGTTCAAATTTACAACATAAGAAAAAGGAATAATAAATTAAATTTTACCCTCGAGAAAACTGATGTTTTAAAAATAACATTCATTTGTTATTGTTAGATTAAGTACATTTAAAAAATTTAAAAATGTTCATATAAATTAATATTTTGGTGATATTCTTAGAGATTAGCTGTTCACCTCTATTTTATTTTTGGTTCATTTATGACTAAATTTTTTTTAACTTTAGTATATTCTCACACACATCCCAGTACCTCACAAACATGTAGAACTTGTAAAACTGCTATCGTGTTATGTAACCTGTTTTATTATTATCAATTATTATAAGCATCTTTTTACTATTTAAATATTAATTGAAAACATGGTTTGTGATAGCTATAGTGTTTCATTGTATGGATGTAGTACATTGTAATCTTATATAACTGTCTCTTCTTTTAAATAAGCAGATAATTTTTCATTTCTGGATATTAAGAGTTACATATTAATAAATATTTTTTATAAATTTATGTAACAAATATTCGTGCACATCTCAGTATTTATTTTGCATAAATTTTTATAATGAGATAACTTTGTAAAAAAAGGTGAGCATTTATAATACTTTTAGAGAAAAAATTGCCATTGCCACAAAGACATAAACATGCCTATTTTCCTAATCAATGATAGATATTATTTTAAAAAATATTTGCAAATTTGGTAGTCAATAATAGTCTCATTGTTATATTTCTTTGAAATTCTTAGATTATGAATGAAATTGAACATATTTTTATGTTTATTGAGCATATGTGTTTCGCCTTTTGTGCATTGCCTGATAGTGTCCTTTGCCCGTTTTTCCATTGATTCGTATTGATATATGAGATCATTAAATAGTAATATTTAATATTTTTGTCCCTAATGTTACAAATAAGTTTTTCCATATTTTATTTGCCTTTTAATTCATATTTTTAAGTACAGAAATCAAAAGTTATGAGTCCTCAAATTTGTTCTTTTTTCTCAAGAGTGTTTTGCTTTCTGGGTCTCTTGCATTTCCATAAGAATGTTATGTAGGTTTTAAAAAAAATAGTTTTATATTTAATTTTAGTTCATCTAGAATTTATTTTGGTTATTTGCTTGATAAGCTTGAGGTACAGATCTAACTATAATTTTCCCCAAATAATGAACTAATTTTCTCATGCATATAAACACCTCGACACCATTGTTCTGATACAGTTTATTAAATAATATATTCTTTTCTCAGTGAATTTAAATAAGACCCTTATAAAATACTAAAGTATTTAAACAGTAAATTTTAATAAACTCAGTGGGTACTCTTACTATGTAAAACAGTTTAATTTCACACTATTGCACTGACTAATGATCTCTTGCTAATACCAATGGCTTGAAAATTAAAACAGGTTATCTGTGACATGTTTTAAAATTGTTCAATCATCAGAAAGATTTACTTTCTCTACTTTCTCTCTTTTTGTTTCTTCTAGGAATGAGGTTGATGTATGTGCATGATGACTCAGAGAGCCTTGCTGATGACTTTACAATCCAGTTGTCGGATGGGAAACATAAGATACTTAAAACCATTTCAGTAGAGGTCATCCCAGTCAATGATGAGAAACCAATGCTGACCAAGTAAGCTACCTGAAAAGAGTCCCTTTCAGCTTCTCTATGAAAATCTGAGGTCTGGAACACTAGATGTAAATATAGTGTATGTCTTCAGAAAGAAACAAGTATTTGACTACTCTTGTCTGTCACAGTTTGGTCCCACCTACTCAGGCACCTGGAACCTTTGGTGCAAATATTAATGTAACTGCTCCTTAACAGTTTTCAAATGAGCCCTTTAATTATTTGCTTTTTCTTTAAAAGTTCTATTTAATTGTAAATAATTAAGAAATGACTGAACATATAGTATGAAGTGAACAGTATACTAAATATTTAAATGCACGTACACACGTACCAAAGTGCAATTAATATATAGATTCAACTAAAATGTGATAATTATACCTGCAGACAGCCTTCGCTGTGAGTTTGGTCAAACTTCTAACTAAGAGTGGCTGAGGGAAAATATTCATGCCACTTCTTTTATCATCTTGATATTTCATTGTCCACCAGTCCTCTACTATGTTCCATATGAATCAACACCCCCTTGCCACCTGATATCAAAATGATCACTTTTTAAAAATTCTGAGCTGATATTAATTATGGACTTTCTCAATGCCTCCTTCTATAGTTGATCAGAGTTGGATTCTAGGGTACAGGGTCTTCATCTATTATATTTCTATTGCTCCAGCCATTTCTCTTATTATTGGTAACTTCACAGAAGCATGGAAGATTAAAACTTGAAGCCCAAATTCTTCTCCAGCGCTGGGCACAGAGAAATATCTCCTCTTGGACCACTTCACCACATTAAATATATGCTGCAGTGAGAGACACTGAGTAGTCAGTCTGAGCTTTTATCAGGAAGTGAACAACTTTCCCAAAATATGTAAACTCTGAGTCTCCTCCACTTTGCTGAAAAGAGACCTCAAACAAGTCCCTTCCTTATCCTGCTGACTCTCCTGCTGCTCCCTTATAAGCCACCAGCAGCAGTGCCCTTGAGAAGCATTGTGGGAAATACTAACAACAGCTTTTTGGAGGGTTGCATCTCAGACATCAGTTTGACAAAGTATTTAACAGAAATTTCGACTTTAATTCTCTGACTGGAATGTTGGATTGGTATGACTTGATTTAATTTTTAAAAACGAAAGTTTAAAGAATATTGCAGTATTATGAAACCTCCTTTTCTGATAACTTCACTTTATCCAAGAGGGAAAGGGAGAGGTGAAGACTGGTGTTAATTAATTGCTTGCTATGTGACAGACACTATATTGAACTCTTTCACATATATTATTTCCTTAAATCTACACCAAAATTGTGTGAAGTAGGTATTATTAACCTTAGTGAGAAAACTGAGACCAGAAAGGTAAAATAACTTACAAAAGGCAACTCACTCAATTCTATCTGACTTACTATTTCTTGCTGTGTTCTAGCTATTAAACTGCCTAGGATAGCTACATGTACAGAATTACCGAATCTTCCTCAACCCTGCTTCAAAATCCCTCCCTTCTTTTCTTCTCTCCAGTAGAGAAGAAATATTCTCCCTTCTTTCCCTTTCATATGTGTCATTGGTTCTATCACCTCTTGCCTCCCTTCTGAATGTGCTCTATTTTGTTTTTCTCTCCTGCGTCTATACTTTCTCCTTTTTCATTCCTTCTGCTAATAAGACATAGGGAGATAGTGGTGGAGAGACCTAATTCTAGAGGCATACTGTCTTGGTTCAGCTACTTACCAGTGGTGTGACCTTGAACATGTTACTTAACCTCTGTCTACTTCTTTGTCAACTTCTTTGTAAATGAGGAAAATAGTATGTTACTCACAGGGGTGTTGCAAGGTTTAAATTAATTAAAATACATAAAAGCATTCGAAAGACTGGCTAGTACATAGTGCTAGTTATTATTATTGCAAGCAGGGATCTTCATTCTAGAACCGGAAAGGTGATCTAGTCCCTCATTTCTTTCAGTGCCAAACTGTTTGGAAGAATAACTTGTGCTCACTTCTTCTACTTCTGCCCATTGTCTCCAACCTCAACCACTTTATTAAAGCCGATCTCTTAAAAGTTATCCTTGCTTTCCCACCAAATCGAATGACTCTTCTCATCTTACTGGACCCTGTTAGAGCATTTGATGCTATCTCTTTTATATTCCTCTTAGATGCTGTAGTCAATGCTTTTGGTTCCCTGGGTCACACACCCTTAGCCCACTTCTGTCTGTAGTTGTGGTTGTGGAACATACTGTTCACATGCTCAGTGCCTGGCCCCAATGTCCAAGTGTGTAGTTCTACTTTTCTGCCTCAGGGCTTTCTCTGAAGCAGCAGTGGCTTATTCAGCCCATGTCCAGGCACAGCAGAAAACTCTGTGAGGGCAGCCTTTAACCTGTGGGAACTAGTGGATAAGATAAATATCCAGCCTCCCATCCTTCAGAAGCACAATTTGAAGCATACTTTATGTGTTTCTTCAAAGGATCCCTAGCAGCATTGAGCCCCATAGCAGTAAAAACACCCTGTGTTGCTATTTCTTCTTTCTCTCCCTTCTGTCTCCATCTCCTATTCTGAAATCACTTCCCAAAGAAATTACCTGCACCAAGGTTCTTGTCCCAGGGTGCCTTTCAGTGTAATCTGGACTGCAACATACTTTTTCTCTGCTTCTCTGGGAAGAGGACTCTAGCTACCCAGAAGATTGACAGGGAGAGGGAGAGTAATGTAGAGGGCCACAGATGACCTAAATATCACCAAACTCACAATGAATGGTATGTCATAAAGGATACCAGAACACTTGTAGATAAGTCATTTAATCTCTGTAAGTAGGTTTCTGTCAGTAAAATTAGAATGATAAAACCTGGTCCATTTACTTCATGGAGCTGTTATATGAAATAAAATATTAGAAACAAAATCATTTTATAAAATAAATTGAAAAATAAAATTATAAAGTACTTTATATGTAAACAATGGAAGTATATAATTACCTCATACCGTATTCATTGTTGCTAATTGTCTTTTAGGACTTTCATGTGTAAAGTGAAATGAGAGCCTGTTTGACAAGTTTGGCTCATTATTTTCAATACTTTGGATGTTGAATGTCGTTTCCTAATTGCTAAAGATTGAAAACTGTAATAGTAATTATGAGTGCCTCCTACTAAAGCAATACCTTGTATTTTCATATCAACCCACACATCTTCCTTTACAGGAAGGCTGAAATTACAGTGAATATGGGTGAAACTCATATTATTTCTAGTGCTGTTCTTTCAGCCATAGATGAAGACTCACCCAGGGAGAAGATTTACTATTTACTTGAAAGCCTTCCCCAAAATGGGCAACTTCACCTTAAGGTTAGTGGCCTCTTTACTTTATTTTTCAAAATGAATATAGCAGGTATAAATTTTCTCTATACACAGGTTTCTATAACTGAACTTATTCTCTAATAGCCATATTTTGCCTAGAAGTAGAAAATTTAATTTTCCAAGTTTGGAGTAAACTCACACTATTCTAAAATTTCTTACTCAACTTAGGTTAAGTTCAACCAATATTAAGGCTCCCTTTCTCCTAGGATTGCACCTAAATTTGGGGGGAGGGAGTTACCAGAGTAAAAAGCAAGTTGTCTAGTATCTGCTAAGAATCAGTCATCTTTTGAGATTATCTTCATTCCCACCAGATTAAAAAAAAATGTCTTTCAATAGATTTTATTTCTTAGAGGAGTTGTGAGTAACAACACACTGATTAAAGTTTATATGGAGAGGCAAAATACCCGAAATATCCAACACAATATTGAAGGAGAACAAAGTAGAAGGCCTAACATTGCCAGACTTACTATAAAGCTACAGTAATTCAGACAGTGTGGGTTTGGTGAAAGAACAGACAAATAGGTCAACAGAACAGAATGGAGAGAACATAAATAGATGCATACAAATATAGTCAATTGACCTTTGATAATGGAGCAGAGGCAATACAATGGAGAAAAGATAGTCTTGTAACAAATGATGCTCACCAGTCCGATTCAGACTGTGTGCGTGATGGCCAAGGATGAGCTCAACGGAAATTACAGATTAGTCACTTGTGAAGGTCACTTGAGTGATCCCTCAATATGTTTATTTGAATGGTGTATTAAGGCTAGCAACAATGACTACCAACCATCCCCAACGTGATTATTTGACTGAATGCTTCAATTTTAATGTAACGTAGACACAGTCCTCGAAAAGCAGCAAGAATTCATTCTGTGTGGAACAGCTTGATTGTCTTAGACTGTAGGTACCATAGAGAATCAATGAAGAGCAGTCACTGATTTAAACTGAGGTACAGCTGTGTCCTTATTTCATTTCAAAGAGTAATGGAGCAGAAATGCAGTGAGAGCTCACACATTTGGGTGGCTTGGGAACTGAAGTGTTTTGGATCTGTGAAAATCCAGATGGATCCACATTCCCAGTTTGGCACTACATGATTCTCTCCTAGCTCTTTAGGGGTTCTCCAAGTCTCTCCAAGACCAGAGACGGAGACTTCAGGGTTCTTGTTTTCTTTTTGAGTTTCTTTAGTTTTCCCCACCTTGAGTCTGACTCTTAATTTCTTCCTCTTTCGGGGCTTGAAATGATTTTGCTCAAAAATTTGGGAGTGTGAGTGGAGAGAAAGCAGAAGATACCTTTTCCTGTATTTACTTCCTGGGAAAAGGTTGCAAAGGAAAAAGTTAATTAGAACTACAGACTGTCCAGTTTAAAATCTGAAAGAGAATCTGTTTTAAAAATTAAATTTGCAATAGATCTTATGATAGAAACAACAAACTTAATTATTACAATATAATTGGGAGCAGAACATATGTTTGTCCAGGCATCAGGCGTGCAAAAATATTAAAGAAAAGGGAACTTTACCTTTACCATCAGGCGTGCAAAAATATTAAAGAAAAGGGAACTTACCAGCTAGAATGACAACAAGGGATGTGGTAACAGAGGAGAAGAGGACAATGAATTTTTGCCAGGAACTGGGAGTCTGTGCAATAATGTATCAGGGAAAACGTTTTTAAATAATCAGTTTGAATTTCTGTTTTAGTTTCTTAAACCAGACAGAAAATGTGCAAGATAATATCATATAGTATATTTTAAAAATGACATTTTTCTTAAATAATGTCAAATGACTTTTATGATCTATTCTTGGGGAGACCTATGTTGAGAGAATAACAATTAAATTATTCATCAGATACAGATTTATTATTATTATATTTTCTAATACTCTCAGCTTCAGCTCCCCCTAGTATATGAACCTCTTTTAGTTGAAAATACCACAATTTCTGAACTGAATTCTGTACAGAATACATGCTTAACTAATGTTGGCTTATATTTAAAAGATTCTGATATTTGCAATTATATTTTTTGCTGACTCAGGGTAAAATGTAGAGAATGATAGGGAGCTTGATAATTTCCGTTGGGCTTTATTTAGTAAGGCTTAAAAATGTATGGGACATAAGTACATTCATTTTATCTTTGTTTTCTTCAGATCTATAACAAATCAATTTGAAAATACGGGTTTGATTAATTGTACAGTATATAAACTAAAAAAATAGGAAACCTCAGGTGAAACACATTTAATATTTAAAGAATCAATTATAGCAGCTCAATTACCCACCTGCTCTCATTAATTGGAATATTTAATCAGCTATGATTGCTTATGATAAATACCTTGGAAGTAGCATTGCTGTTGAATTGCCACATGATTTTGTCAAAAATCCTTTGGTTGAAGCTATTTCTTCCTAAGATCTTAAATTATTTTAATATATTTTTTGAAAGGAAAAAATAAAGTAAAATAATAAGAAGTTGAGTTTGGAGTTTCTTGGAAATATCATTTATATTGGAGATTTTCAGGGAACAGAAAAAATGTCTACTAACACAGCTTGGAAAGAAAAAAGCACAGGCAGCTGACTAATTCTGGCACATTTCAGATAGGGAGGGACTGGGTCCGTCTCTATCCTGGCATGAAATGCACTCAGGAGGAAGTGGATCTGAACTTGCTGAGATACACACACACTGGGGCAATGGATTCCCCAAACCATGACAGCTTCACCTTCTACCTCTGGGATGGCGACAACAAGTCCCCTGCATTTGACTGTCACATCACCATCAAGGATATGGAAAAAGGTAAAAGCATTTCTACCAAGGTTTATTGGGATTAGCTTTTATAACCAGAAGTGAACTGGTGTAAGCACTCACAGTTTTTCCTTTTTCTTTTTTCCATTCTTCCTTCCTTTGTTCTCTTTCCC